AGCTCGTTTTCATAAAATTCACTTTAACAGTTTGTCAGCATGTTAGCTTACACCACCACTTGTTAACCACAGTTTAGTGACACTTAGGTTTATCTAAATGTCGAAATATCAATGAAATGAATCGAACACAAACGTGTAGTGACATTGGACTCAAACCATACGATTTTCGAAGTCGAGCATATAATTACTGAAAAGACATATTCAATGGTTAATACGAAGATAAGGTTAAGTATGACGAACGCGGGAAGATAAATTCGAAACATAGGACGGTATGGCCCAGCCTTCCAGGCGTGGTCATTCATGTGTAACTTATCTCTTTTGCTCATGCTAAATATATTGTTCTATCACCAGCCTAGCTGTGTTTTCCATCATGTAATGGTGATGATTACGACCGAACGAGTCAATATATATAAAGATGTGACTTCCACGTAAAATCTTATGGACTATGTAGTTACATCATGACAAGTATAAAACTGTAGGCGTAAGGCTATTATTATTGCAGTACTGCTAACGAAGTAAACCATAATTCTTCAAACGTGCGTTCAGAATTGTTAGTACTGCGGATGAAGAAAATCTTTGGTAATAGCGTTTATACACTAATAGTGTCTGTAGCCTATCCCTGTCAATTAAAAGACAATATTAAACTATTGTATTGGTGTGACTTAATTTTTATTCATTTAGATAAGACACGCAATACTGGTAGGTATGATTGTGTGTTCCACTTAATGATGTAGCGGTGAATAAATCCCCAAAATCAATTTCTCTGTAAGTGTACGATATTGGATGCTGACCACATTACTTTTAGTGGACTCACCTAGCTGGATGCACTAGGTCATGCATCTGTATCAGATCACGAGGTGGAACGGCGTGCTCAGTGTTTCCTGCGATCACTAGCCAGTTTAGATCAGTCACTCTTTGATATATTGATGATCTATCAAATATATCTTTCGACCTCCTCGCTTCTGACTTTTGATTTAACTGTGTGGGTGCTATTCGATTATATAAGGTGGTACTGGTAAAGTGTTGTCAAACTACAATACCTGTGGTATCATTAATGAATTTAACCCCTTTTAATTATTGTACTAATCGAATTGTTTTTACGTTTAGAAACAGATAGGGTCTAAAACCAAGTTGTCCTTTGTTCTGACCATATCTTTCACATAGACTCTGGGATTGTCAGTATCAAGTTTACAGTTCTACTAAAATATCTGTAAGACTGTAGTGGATCAGACAATATATAAACGCAAAAGATATCAACGAAATTAATAACAACCAATAGTAATATTAATATATACAAGTTAAATGTTACAAATACAATAAATAATGGGACTTTACTTAAGTTCACCCGAAATGATGCGTGTTCGACTTTCATCTGGTATAATAAATCCACAATTATAGATGCTTAGTAATTCCGAACGTATCGATGATCTCCCCAGTATTGTAATCCACAGTAAGATATGATGTATTCACTTTATCAGCCTATGAATGTAAATAATATTTGTTTTAGAACTAAGTTAACTCTAACTCGAATGAAAACAGAACGAGGGATGTGTGAGTATTAATGTATTTGGTAGCCAGAAAGAATACGTCACGCTATGTTGGAATCACAACGGAAAGTGTCTTCAAGGTCATTGACTAAAACAACATGTACAGTCATTTAATGATGAATGTACATACAGTGAAAAATTGACAAAACAAATACAAATAATTTTAAAAACTATTTACAAAATAAGCTTGTCAGTCATATCTCCACAAGACAAACTAAATCCTACAAGTAGTTATCAAATCCATTTGATTAGATCTATCAATAATGTATGTCTGACATATATGACGTAAGTGACATAGGAATTTGGTCATGCTCATATTCTTGCGCAAGGCATCCATTATTCCCTCACCGTTAATCGTCAGTGTTTTGTTTAGGGACATGAATTTAGGCTATGAAAGGTAATAGAAATTTTTCTTATGAAGGATGTAGCTGTAAATAATTCCCCAAAATCAATAGCTCATTAAGTGTTCGACATTGGATGCTGACCACGTTGTTTAAGTGGACTTGTTTAGCTGAAGGCTTTCGGTCATGCATCCGCACCAGATCACGTTTCAATACTGCGTGGGACACAGCTCCTACGTTTCATTAGCCAGCTCATAGAAAAGGTCCTCGATATATTGGTAACGAATCAAATATATCTTTCCTGCCTATTCTCGTCCGACTTCTGATTTCTATCTGACTGGGAATTACCGAATTTAGAAGGTGCTACTGGTATCTAGTTGTAAAACTAGAATATCCGTTGCATCATCAAGGATTTAACTACTCTAAATATGTGTTGTAACTTTTTGAAAAAGTTATTTACTTTTAACCGAATATTTTGGTTAGGATAGTTGCTCATGTTAAAGTTTTGGTCTTTATTGTTGTTTGTGGAGGGTCTTCTTTCGTTATCTTAAACCTCAATAATGAATCAATTATGAAAAAGCGTTAGTTGTTTATCCTAACATCCGTTAAATGTGACTAAAGGCTGTTCTGTTGATAAATTCAGTTCGTGTGTGAGGATTTTAGACTGTTTGCTATGAAGATCAGATACAAACCAGGATAAGTAGTTAGTTTCTTGCAGGATTTCTTCGTATAATCCCGTTGTAGTGTGCAGATTTAGTGTACTCCCTCTAGTTGTTCATTAAGAGACTGACATTTCTCCATCAACTATGAAAAACAATTAATTGTTTTTGTCTTCATTTATGGAAGCTAATACGGATAAGTTAATCTATCTATACACCTTCCTTGTTATCAATGCATGGTTCCAAGTCTTTGTCATCATACACTGTGGGTAGGCTAACTGTTCGACTACACTAATTTCGGTGATCCTGAAAGTTAACTGCGTGCCAATATTTTTGACCATAAATTACTTCATTTGTTCTGGTACAGTAAGGTTGCGTGGAAAAACAGCTATTACGTTACAAAGGAATCGATTGGTTGACTGCAATGTGGAGGATGTTAGAATTAAAACGATGTTGGATGAAGTGAATGCAAGGCCAAGACAACTGAATGAGCAAATAATTTGTTATTCGATTAAGCAACTGAGTAGTGAGTGAATAGACAAATATACAGAAAAGCTCATGAAAGCTGATGAGAATATAGGTGGTATACGGTGTTATCAGTAGTGAAAATAAATAATAATAGTAATCGATAGAATGTGATAAGTGTAAAATATCTTTCTGTAATTACAAATATACTAGTTAAACTGAGACCAGTTTAATCTAATATAACGTCTTATTATTATTGAATATTGAGAGAATTTGAGTAACTAGCGTAGTTTCAAGCTCTCTAGGTCGCGGGTCGTCATCAGTTTGTGTGGTGGCAAACGCTCAAAGGATGGTAGATTTGGACAAAGGGCCTGTCAAAAAAGAAATAAGCAACGCCGTGTTTATCATTCCAGCACTTCTCGTTGTTTCTCTACTGATATTTTTCATCTACAAAATAAAATGCAGGCTAAGCGAGCCTAGATCGTCCAAACTTAAGAAATCCAAACCTATACCAGCTAAAGTAAAATAATATCTTTTGAATTTCCAAACTTGTCGTTGGTTTTTACGATTTTGCTATGTCTATATCTCTGTGATCTGTTTATGTAATTCCCACTGATTAACCTACTGTTTTTGTTACTGCCCTCAACATGTTATTTTTGCTTTGTATATCATATACATTTCCAAAATCGTCTAGACAGCTGTTCCATACTACAACATCATAACAATAATATATACTCTTTTATTAGATCGTCTTTTTCCGACTTTTAACCTAACGTTTTTTTTCAGGTTATACGCCTTAAGTGAATCCTGCAGCACTTGGCAAGTATTAAATATCCTCAAGGCGTATGAACAATAGGCTTTTGTGTAGTCCTTCAGTTAGGTTTTTGATCAAATATTAAACACTCATTAAATCTCATTTGGATACTGTGCATCTATTCCTTGATTGAAAACACAGGTTAATTTTGTCATCTTTGTTTGGGGATCGTGAACTAATCTTAATTCCACCTAGTTTTAGTATGTAGGCAATAACGTTCCTATTTGCAAATGTGCTATGGACAAGGTTTAACCTGCATAACAGTTCCGTACAGTATTATATGGCATGGATCATCAGTGTATCAGGTAAAAGGTAACATCTTCAACCACACCTTTGTTATTTTATAGTTTACTAGTTGTAAGTACAGTGAGTCTGGACAATGAGTTGTTAAAATAACCTTCAGCTAAGCTTCATGTTTATTTTTGTTAAGTTGTTACAACGACATTTATGCTACATTGAAAAGAAGAATCATTCGAATACCTTATCAATTTTCTTCATTGAACATGGATCTAAACTCTTACACGAGTAGGCTTACAAACGCTATGCGTTCAGTTAAACCTGCTCACACTCGACCTCAATCAACTGATGTTTTCGTTCAACCCGAACTACGACATAGTACACACGTCTTCGTTCGTCGAGACTCACATCGACGACCCCTCGAATCAGCATACGAAGGACCCTTCAAAGTTCTTCAACGCGAACCTAAGTACTATGTAGTCGACAAGAACGGTACGAAAGATAGCATCAGTATCGATCGACTCAAAGCTGCGTACCTAGAAGGAAACCCTAGCTACGTCGATTTTCCTTCGGTACAAGCAAACGACACAGCTACTACACTCGTAGTACCCTACACGACAACCGACACACAACTTGATACTTCGTCAACGTCGATAGAAAAACCTAAAACAACGCGTTCTGGAAGACGAGTAAGATTTCCAGAACATCTTAACGAATATTGCACGTAGGACATAAGCTTTATCTTGAATTACCCTTTCATTGTTTATTATAAATTTTTTTAATATGCTCATTTTTTTATTTACGTAAAAAAAACAAAAAAACAACATTTTTTTGAGCGTATATATATATATATTTATATATTAAAAAAAAACCAAAAGAAAACCTTTTTTCCGATCGCTTTTACGCTGTTTGTAAGTGTATCAGTTTATTTTTTTTCCGCTCATCTTGTGTCCTTACGCAAGTACGAGTGTATTTTTGACATGCACTCACACGTTTTATTTTTCCTCTTTTCCAGGACGGCTGGAAAAGAACGACGAAGTTTCGCAAGGAACAGCAATTTTCATTGTACTATATTTCTTTATTTGCTACGTTGTACATTTTGGTCCCATAGTTTAAGGAAAGACGACCAGACGCTGCTAAACGAAGCAAGCTATCAGAAGAGTGTTTACCAACGACAAATTCGTTGGGTTTAAACTTCTGGCTGGTCACGTCTTAGGGGCATCACTACCTCACTAGGGGGGGAGTGATCTGTAGCTGTAAATAATTCCCCAAAATCAATAGCTCATTAAGTGTTCGACATTGGATGCTGACCACGTTGTTTAAGTGGACTTGTTTAGCTGAAGGCTTTCGGTCATGCATCCGCACCAGATCACGTTTCAATACTGCGTGGGACACAGCTCCTACGTTTCATTAGCCAGCTCATAGAAAAGGTCCTCGATATATTGGTAACGAATCAAATATATCTTTCCTGCCTATTCTCGTCCGACTTCTGATTTCTATCTGACTGGGAATTACCGAATTTAGAAGGTGCTACTGGTATCTAGTTGTAAAACTAGAATATCCGTTGCATCATCATTGGTGAGCCCGACGTGATCTGGTACACCAAGTCAATATACTGTGAGTCTGTTCCATTTTGGAATATTATTATTTATTGTTATTCTTTATTTGAATTTTATATATTGTGATATACCTTTTTTTTCTCGGATATATTTTACTTAGACATTTTTCGATATCTATATTACTATGACGGAACCCTCTCCTAAGGTTCTTAAGTTTAAGTCTATTCCCCCTATTTCGATTCAGTTAACACCATTTTGGCCCGACAATATCGAGTCCTGGTTCTGCTATGCAGAAGCCGATTTTTGCATGCACGGAATCACGGACTCGCGCACACGTTTCCTCGCGGTAGTTAAGGCGTTACCGCGCGAGTTTAACAGGTACGTAACACCTAGTATGTTTACTAGTGATGTTTCCGAAACTTACGAATCGCTTAAGCTATCGATTTTAAAACGAGGAGACCTAACTGATCGACAACGGTTAGACCAACTCCTTAACAATATCGACTTGCAACATGGTTCTGCGACGGACATGTTGCTTAGAATGAGAGAAGTCATCGGCCAACGAACTTTCGATGATGGCCTATTTAGACAACTTTTCTTGTCTAAACTCCCTCAACAGGTGCAGGCAGTGCTTGTTTCATTTCAAAACAATGCCATAGATGAACTAGCTGCATCTGCCGATCGAATCTTGGAAATCACTAGATCTTCTAAGGCCGAGGTTTTTTCCGTCAAAGAAAAACCCCAATCGACCTCGACTGACATGGCCGAACTATGTCACACGCTTACACGATATCTTAGAGTTCGCAATGACCGTAGTCGGTCAAAAACCCCGCGTAGAAGCGCCTCACGTAAGCGATCTGGCTCTCGACCACGAGAGACAGACAATCCCGACTGGTGCTGGTATCATAACCAGTACGGTAAGTTTTCCAGAAACTGCAGGAAACCTTGTAATTATCCGAACCCAAAATCGAGTGACACGAAAAACAGTTCGGGAAACTTTCCAGCCGGCACGCGTTAACGGCAACCGTAGCCGGCGAACACAGCCGCCTCTTATATGTCACGGATGTGACTACGAAAGTTCGCTACCTCGTCGACACTGGCGCAGAAGTTAGCGTTCTTCCAGCAAATCTCGACGACAGACTTCGCGAGTCTGTTTTAAGTTTACAGGCGGCAAACGGAAAGCCGATCGCTACTTACGGTAAAAGGTACGTCTACCTTAACGTGGGTTTACGTAAACCCATACACTGGATTTTCGTGGTTGCAGATGTCTCTATGCCAATCATTGGTATTGACCTGTTACAACACCACAATCTACTCATCGACACACGCGCACGAAGTTTAATAGACGGAAACACTAAGTTGTCCGTTTGCGTAACTCCTTGTTCTGGTTGCAGGTTATCCCCAGTCACGATTAAGCACGCCATAGACCCCTTGTACCAAGCAGTACTCGACAAATACCCCGGGATATACCAATCGCAATCGAAATTACCTTGTGTAACCAGCAATGTTACACATCACATCTCGACTACAGGACCACCTGTATTTTCGAAAGCCCGAAGACTCGCTCCCGAAAAACTTAGGTTAGCTAAAAACGAATTCAACCACATGATGGACCTAGGAATAATTCGACCATCGAATAGTCCATGGGCATCCCCATTGCACATGGTCCCTAAAAAGGACAGCAATGATTGGCGGCCAACTGGTGATTATCGGTGTCTGAATGCTAAAACCATTCCCGATCGTTACCCGCTGCCTCATATTCACGATTTGACAGCTACCTTGAAAGGTACAACTGTCTTTTCGAAAATCGACTTGGTTAAAGCTTATAACCAAATCCCGATGGCAACTGACGACATTCCTAAAACCGCCATCATCACTCCCTTCGGTCTTTACGAATTTCTACGAATGCCTTTTGGTTTAAGAAACGCGGCTCAAACCTTCCAAAGGTTTATAGACGACGTCTTCCGAGGTCTCAACTTCGTACATGCGTATGTTGATGACTGTCTAATAGCAAGTCCGGACAGAGAATCGCATCTCAAGTATCTGGACATTGTTTTCGATCGACTTCAAAGGCATGGCATTACTGTCAACATTCAGAAATGCCAAATCGGAACTAACTGCTTAGACTTCTTAGGACACACCATTGATGCCCAAGGCATCCGACCCCTTAGGAGCAAAGTGGCGGCCATTCTGGATTACCCAGAACCGACCACGATCAAGCAGTTGCGAACTTTTAACGGACTCGTAAGTTTCTATAGACGGTTCATACCTAAATGCGCATCTCTAATGAAACCGTTGACCGATCAGCTTCGTGGAAATGCGAAATCAATTAGTTTAGACGACACAGCCCGTAAAGCATTTTCCACAGTTAAGGAACACATCGCTAAAGCAACCTTGCTTGCTCATCAGGACAGTCAAGCGCCCATTAGTATCGCCGTAGACGCATCCGACTCAGCGATCGGAGCAGTCTTACAACAATGGGTTAACAACTCGTGGCAACCTTTAGGATTTTTCTCGAGACGGTTGCTAGACGCTGAATCTAGGTACAACACGTTCGGTAGGGAACTCCTAGCTATGTATTGTGCTGTACGGCATTTTCAACATTCCATCGAAGGAAGAGAATTCACGCTCTTTACCGATCACAAACCTCTTACCTTCTCTTTAGGTTCATCTTCAGACAAGTACTCACCGCGAGAGTCTCGACAACTCGACTACATTTCGCAGTTTACTTCAGACATACAACATATTTCTGGAGCAAACAATGTAGTCGCAGACGCCTTGTCTCGAATTAGCTCCTTGAACAGTTTCCAAGGAATCGACCTTCTTAAACTCGCTCAGCTTCAAAAAGAAGACATTGATCTTCAGCATGAGTTATCCTCGACAACTCTTAAACTAAGTATTAGGCAGATGGGAACAGGTAAGGAAACCTTACTCTGTGACACATCTACAGGTAGGGATCGTCCAATTGTACCAAAACACTATCGCCGCAACGTCTTCAATACGTTGCACAATCTTTCTCATCCAGGTGCTCGTGCAACAATCGAACTTATAGCCGAACGCTTTTGTTGGCCTGGCATGAATAAAGACGTGAGGGAGTGGTCACGCTCCTGTGTAAGCTGTCAGAAATCTAAGGTAATCAGACACAACAAATGTCCCTTAGGTTCTTTCAAAACCCCTGACGCTCGTTTCGACCACGTCCATCTAGATTTGGTAGGACCCTTACCCGACTCGAACGGATACTCATATCTCCTAACATGCGTAGACCGTTTTACTCGATGGCCAGAAGCAGTACCGATTAAGGACATTACTGCTGAAACAGTGGCTCGCACTTTCGTCGAACGATGGGTAGCAAATTTCGGCTGCCCTTCCACAATCACTACAGACCGCGGACGCCAGTTCGAATCTGGACTTTTCCGTTGTCTGACCACACTTTTAGGAATCACGCGCTTCCGAACGACCGCCTACCACCCACAAGCAAACGGGTTGGTAGAACGTTTTCATCGACAACTTGAAGCTTCATTATCAGCTTCAAACGTTTCACAGTGGACAGACGCTCTTCCACTCGTCTTGCTAGGTATCCGCAATGCAGTGAAAGCTGACATTGGATACACGGCATCTCAACTCGTTTACGGAACGACACTCCGACTCCCAGGAGAATTCGTGGATCCTTCAGCTTCTTCATTGAACATGGATCTAAACTCTTACACGAGTAGGCTTACAAACGCTATGCGTTCAGTTAAACCTGCTCACACTCGACCTCAATCAACTGATGTTTTCGTTCAACCCGAACTACGACATAGTACACACGTCTTCGTTCGTCGAGACTCACATCGACGACCCCTCGAATCAGCATACGAAGGACCCTTCAAAGTTCTTCAACGCGAACCTAAGTACTATGTAGTCGACAAGAACGGTACGAAAGATAGCATCAGTATCGATCGACTCAAAGCTGCGTACCTAGAAGGAAACCCTAGCTACGTCGATTTTCCTTCGGTACAAGCAAACGACACAGCTACTACACTCGTAGTACCCTACACGACAACCGACACACAACTTGATACTTCGTCAACGTCGATAGAAAAACCTAAAACAACGCGTTCTGGAAGACGAGTAAGATTTCCAGAACATCTTAACGAATATTGCACGTAGGACATAAGCTTTATCTTGAATTACCCTTTCATTGTTTATTATAAATTTTTTTAATATGCTCATTTTTTTATTTACGTAAAAAAAAACAAAAAAACAACATTTTTTTGAGCGTATATATATATATATTTATATATTAAAAAAAAACCAAAAGAAAACCTTTTTTCCGATCGCTTTTACGCTGTTTGTAAGTGTATCAGTTTATTTTTTTTCCGCTCATCTTGTGTCCTTACGCAAGTACGAGTGTATTTTTGACATGCACTCACACGTTTTATTTTTCCTCTTTTCCAGGACGGCTGGAAAAGAACGACGAAGTTTCGCAAGGAACAGCAATTTTCATTGTACTATATTTCTTTATTTGCTACGTTGTACATTTTGGTCCCATAGTTTAAGGAAAGACGACCAGACGCTGCTAAACGAAGCAAGCTATCAGAAGAGTGTTTACCAACGACAAATTCGTTGGGTTTAAACTTCTGGCTGGTCACGTCTTAGGGGCATCACTACCTCACTAGGGGGGGAGTGATCTGTAGCTGTAAATAATTCCCCAAAATCAATAGCTCATTAAGTGTTCGACATTGGATGCTGACCACGTTGTTTAAGTGGACTTGTTTAGCTGAAGGCTTTCGGTCATGCATCCGCACCAGATCACGTTTCAATACTGCGTGGGACACAGCTCCTACGTTTCATTAGCCAGCTCATAGAAAAGGTCCTCGATATATTGGTAACGAATCAAATATATCTTTCCTGCCTATTCTCGTCCGACTTCTGATTTCTATCTGACTGGGAATTACCGAATTTAGAAGGTGCTACTGGTATCTAGTTGTAAAACTAGAATATCCGTTGCATCATCATTGGTGAGCCCGACGTGATCTGGTACACCAAGTCAATATACTGTGAGTCTGTTCCATTTTGGAATATTATTATTTATTGTTATTCTTTATTTGAATTTTATATATTGTGATATACCTTTTTTTTCTCGGATATATTTTACTTAGACATTTTTCGATATCTATATTACTATGACGGAACCCTCTCCTAAGGTTCTTAAGTTTAAGTCTATTCCCCCTATTTCGATTCAGTTAACACCATTTTGGCCCGACAATATCGAGTCCTGGTTCTGCTATGCAGAAGCCGATTTTTGCATGCACGGAATCACGGACTCGCGCACACGTTTCCTCGCGGTAGTTAAGGCGTTACCGCGCGAGTTTAACAGGTACGTAACACCTAGTATGTTTACTAGTGATGTTTCCGAAACTTACGAATCGCTTAAGCTATCGATTTTAAAACGAGGAGACCTAACTGATCGACAACGGTTAGACCAACTCCTTAACAATATCGACTTGCAACATGGTTCTGCGACGGACATGTTGCTTAGAATGAGAGAAGTCATCGGCCAACGAACTTTCGATGATGGCCTATTTAGACAACTTTTCTTGTCTAAACTCCCTCAACAGGTGCAGGCAGTGCTTGTTTCATTTCAAAACAATGCCATAGATGAACTAGCTGCATCTGCCGATCGAATCTTGGAAATCACTAGATCTTCTAAGGCCGAGGTTTTTTCCGTCAAAGAAAAACCCCAATCGACCTCGACTGACATGGCCGAACTATGTCACACGCTTACACGATATCTTAGAGTTCGCAATGACCGTAGTCGGTCAAAAACCCCGCGTAGAAGCGCCTCACGTAAGCGATCTGGCTCTCGACCACGAGAGACAGACAATCCCGACTGGTGCTGGTATCATAACCAGTACGGTAAGTTTTCCAGAAACTGCAGGAAACCTTGTAATTATCCGAACCCAAAATCGAGTGACACGAAAAACAGTTCGGGAAACTTTCCAGCCGGCACGCGTTAACGGCAACCGTAGCCGGCGAACACAGCCGCCTCTTATATGTCACGGATGTGACTACGAAAGTTCGCTACCTCGTCGACACTGGCGCAGAAGTTAGCGTTCTTCCAGCAAATCTCGACGACAGACTTCGCGAGTCTGTTTTAAGTTTACAGGCGGCAAACGGAAAGCCGATCGCTACTTACGGTAAAAGGTACGTCTACCTTAACGTGGGTTTACGTAAACCCATACACTGGATTTTCGTGGTTGCAGATGTCTCTATGCCAATCATTGGTATTGACCTGTTACAACACCACAATCTACTCATCGACACACGCGCACGAAGTTTAATAGACGGAAACACTAAGTTGTCCGTTTGCGTAACTCCTTGTTCTGGTTGCAGGTTATCCCCAGTCACGATTAAGCACGCCATAGACCCCTTGTACCAAGCAGTACTCGACAAATACCCCGGGATATACCAATCGCAATCGAAATTACCTTGTGTAACCAGCAATGTTACACATCACATCTCGACTACAGGACCACCTGTATTTTCGAAAGCCCGAAGACTCGCTCCCGAAAAACTTAGGTTAGCTAAAAACGAATTCAACCACATGATGGACCTAGGAATAATTCGACCATCGAATAGTCCATGGGCATCCCCATTGCACATGGTCCCTAAAAAGGACAGCAATGATTGGCGGCCAACTGGTGATTATCGGTGTCTGAATGCTAAAACCATTCCCGATCGTTACCCGCTGCCTCATATTCACGATTTGACAGCTACCTTGAAAGGTACAACTGTCTTTTCGAAAATCGACTTGGTTAAAGCTTATAACCAAATCCCGATGGCAACTGACGACATTCCTAAAACCGCCATCATCACTCCCTTCGGTCTTTACGAATTTCTACGAATGCCTTTTGGTTTAAGAAACGCGGCTCAAACCTTCCAAAGGTTTATAGACGACGTCTTCCGAGGTCTCAACTTCGTACATGCGTATGTTGATGACTGTCTAATAGCAAGTCCGGACAGAGAATCGCATCTCAAGTATCTGGACATTGTTTTCGATCGACTTCAAAGGCATGGCATTACTGTCAACATTCAGAAATGCCAAATCGGAACTAACTGCTTAGACTTCTTAGGACACACCATTGATGCCCAAGGCATCCGACCCCTTAGGAGCAAAGTGGCGGCCATTCTGGATTACCCAGAACCGACCACGATCAAGCAGTTGCGAACTTTTAACGGACTCGTAAGTTTCTATAGACGGTTCATACCTAAATGCGCATCTCTAATGAAACCGTTGACCGATCAGCTTCGTGGAAATGCGAAATCAATTAGTTTAGACGACACAGCCCGTAAAGCATTTTCCACAGTTAAGGAACACATCGCTAAAGCAACCTTGCTTGCTCATCAGGACAGTCAAGCGCCCATTAGTATCGCCGTAGACGCATCCGACTCAGCAATCGGAGCAGTCTTACAACAATGGGTTAACAACTCGTGGCAACCTTTAGGATTTTTCTCGAGACGGTTGCTAGACGCTGAATCTAGGTACAACACGTTCGGTAGGGAACTCCTAGCTATGTATTGTGCTGTACGGCATTTTCAACATTCCATCGAAGGAAGAGAATTCACGCTCTTTACCGATCACAAACCTCTTACCTTCTCTTTAGGTTCATCTTCAGACAAGTACTCACCGCGAGAGTCTCGACAACTCGACTACATTTCGCAGTTTACTTCAGACATACAACATATTTCTGGAGCAAACAATGTAGTCGCAGACGCCTTGTCTCGAATTAGCTCCTTGAACAGTTTCCAAGGAATCGACCTTCTTAAACTCGCTCAGCTTCAAAAAGAAGACATTGATCTTCAGCATGAGTTATCCTCGACAACTCTTAAACTAAGTATTAGGCAGATGGGAACAGGTAAGGAAACCTTACTCTGTGACACATCTACAGGTAGGGATCGTCCAATTGTACCAAAACACTATCGCCGCAACGTCTTCAATACGTTGCACAATCTTTCTCATCCAGGTGCTCGTGCAACAATCGAACTTATAGCCGAACGCTTTTGTTGGCCTGGCATGAATAAAGACGTGAGGGAGTGGTCACGCTCCTGTGTAAGCTGTCAGAAATCTAAGGTAATCAGACACAACAAATGTCCCTTAGGTTCTTTCAAAACCCCTGACGCTCGTTTCGACCACGTCCATCTAGATTTGGTAGGACCCTTACCCGACTCGAACGGATACTCATATCTCCTAACATGCGTAGACCGTTTTACTCGATGGCCAGAAGCAGTACCGATTAAGGACATTACTGCTGAAACAGTGGCTCGCACTTTCGTCGAACGATGGGTAGCAAATTTCGGCTGCCCTTCCACAATCACTACAGACCGCGGACGCCAGTTCGAATCTGGACTTTTCCGTTGTCTGACCACACTTTTAGGAATCACGCGCTTCCGAACGACCGCCTACCACCCACAAGCAAACGGGTTGGTAGAACGTTTTCATCGACAACTTGAAGCTTCATTATCAGCTTCAAACGTTTCACAGTGGACAGACGCTCTTCCACTCGTCTTGCTAGGTATCCGCAATGCAGTGAAAGCTGACATTGGATACACGGCATCTCAACTCGTTTACGGAACGACACTCCGACTCCCAGGAGAATTCGTGGATCCTTCAGCTTCTTCATTGAACATGGATCTAAACTCTTACACGAGTAGGCTTACAAACGCTATGCGTTCAGTTAAACCTGCTCACACTCGACCTCAATCAACTGATGTTTTCGTTCAACCCGAACTACGACATAGTACACACGTCTTCGTTCGTCGAGACTCACATCGACGACCCCTCGAATCAGCATACGAAGGACCCTTCAAAGTTCTTCAACGCGAACCTAAGTACTATGTAGTCGACAAGAACGGTACGAAAGATAGCATCAGTATCGATCGACTCAAAGCTGCGTACCTAGAAGGAAACCCTAGCTACGTCGATTTTCCTTCGGTACAAGCAAACGACACAGCTACTACACTCGTAGTACCCTACACGACAACCGACACACAACTTGATACTTCGTCAACGTCGATAGAAAAACCTAAAACAACGCGTTCTGGAAGACGAGTAAGATTTCCAGAACATCTTAACGAATATTGCACGTAGGACATAAGCTTTATCTTGAATTACCCTTTCATTGTTTATTATAAATTTTTTTAATATGCTCATTTTTTTATTTACGTAAAAAAAACAAAAAAACAACATTTTTTTGAGCGTATATATATATATATTTATATATTAAAAAAAAACCAAAAGAAAACCTTTTTTCCGATCGCTTTTACGCTGTTTGTAAGTGTATCAGTTTATTTTTTTTCCGCTCATCTTGTGTCCTTACGCAAGTACGAGTGTATTTTTGACATGCACTCACACGTTTTATTTTTCCTCTTTTCCAGGACGGCCGGAAAAGAACGACGAAGTTTCGCAAGGAACAGCAATTTTCATTGTACTATATTTCTTTATTTGCTACGTTGTACATTTTGGTCCCATAGTTTAAGGAAAGACGACCAGACGCTGCTAAACGAAGCAAGCTATCAGAAGAGTGTTTACCAACGACAAATTCGTTGGGTTTAAACTTCTGGCTGGTCACGTCTTAGGGGCATCACTACCTCACTAGGGGGGGAGTGATCTGTAGCTGTAAATAATTCCCCAAAATCAATAGCTCATTAAGTGTTCGACATTGGATGCTGACCACGTTGTTTAAGTGGACTTGTTTAGCTGAAGGCTTTCGGTCATGCATCCGCACCAGATCACGTTTCAATACTGCGTGGGACACAGCTCCTACGTTTCATTAGCCAGCTCATAGAAAAGGTCCTCGATATATTGGTAACGAATCAAATATATCTTTCCTGCCTATTCTCGTCCGACTTCTGATTTCTATCTGACTGGGAATTACCGAATTTAGAAGGTGCTACTGGTATCTAGTTGTAAAACTAGAATATCCGTTGCATCATCAAGGATTTAACTACTCTAAATATGTGTTGTAACTTTTTGAAAAAGTTATTTACTTTTAACCGAATATTTTGGTTAGGATAGTTGCTCATGTTAAAGTTTTGGTCTTTATTGTTGTTTGTGGAGGGTCTTCTTTCGTTATCTTAAACCTCAATAATGAATCAATTATGAAAAAGCTTTAGTTGTTTATCCTAACATCCGTTAAATGTGACTAAAGGCTGTTCTGTTGATAAATTCAGTTCGTGTGTGAGGATTTTAGACTGTTTGCTATGAAGATCAGATACAAACCAGGATAAGTAGTTAGTTTCTTGCAGGATTTCTTCGTATAATCCCGTTGTAGTGTGCAGATTTAGTGTACTCCCTCTAGTTGTTCATTAAGAGACTGACATTTCTCCATCAACTATGAAAAACAATTAATTGTTTTTGTCTTCATTTATGGAAGCTAATACGGATAAGTTAATCTATCTATACACCTTCCTTGTTATCAATGCATGGTTCCAAGTCTTTGTCATCATACACTGTGGGTAGGCTAACTGTTCGACTACACTAATTTCGGTGATCCTGAAAGTTAACTGCGTGCCAATATTTTTGACCATAAATTACTTCATTTGTTCTGGTACAGTAAGGTTGCGTGGAAAAACAGCTATTACGTTACAAAGGAATCGATTGGTTGACTGCAATGTGGAGGATGTTAGAATTAAAACGATGTTGGATGAAGTGAATGCAAGGCCAAGACAACTGAATGAGCAAATAATTTGTTATTCGATTAAGCAACTGAGTAGTGAGTGAATAGACAAATATACAGAAAAGCTCATGAAAGCTGATGAGAATATAGGTGGTATACGGTGTTATCAGTAGTGAAAATAAATAATAATAGTAATCGATAGAATGTGATAAGTGTAAAATATCTTTCTGTAATTACAAATATACTAGTTAAACTGAGACCAGTTTAATCTAATATAACGTCTTATTATTATTGAATATTGAGAGAATTTGAGTAACTAGCGTAGTTTCAAGCTCTCTAGGTCGCGGGTCGTCATCAGTTTGTGTGGTGGCAAACGCTCAAAGGATGGTAGATTTGGACAAAGGGCCTGTCAAAAAAGAAATAAGCAACGCCGTGTTTATCATTCCAGCACTTCTCGTTGTTTCTCTACTGATATTTTTCATCTACAAAATAAAATGCAGGCTAAGCGAGCCTAGATCGTCCAAACTTAAGAAATCCAAACCTATACCAGCTAAAGTAAAATAATATCTTTTGAATTTCCAAACTTGTCGTTGGTTTT